TTCCTGTTTCCTTAAAAAGAATACCAAACAAATGCATCAGCCTGCCAGACAGTGTTGGAAGGCTAAATTTATCTTGGTAGTCATTCAGTGCTTTCTGCACTTAGTAATAAACTCCTGATATAGCTGCAGGTTATGAGGAGAATATTGTGTAATGAACTACATTTTATTGAGTACTCTCTAGCCTTCAGACTAATATGCTTTCACGTCTACTTAGATCAAGCATCTGAAAACCAGCAAATTACAACTATGAACACTAATGGAAAGGAGAAGAGAAGCTAAGGTTAACTATGATATACACCACTTGGACTCTCTTAGCTAGACCACTTCACTCAGTGTTATTAGCACACAAATACATGTATTTTGGGGGACTGAGTACACAGGCCCTGCAATAATAGCCCATCACTCTGATGGGTTATCAACTTCTCTCTGTTGATGGCTTGTAGACACTGCCTCTCCATTTGTATTGTATCTGTATAGCTTAAGTAAAATGCACCTTTCTCCCAAATCAGCCCATATCAAAACATACAGGGGTGGATGCATCCACAGAATGCTTACTAATTACCAGTGTTACAAGCTAAAAGTAAATGTCATTTTATCCTAGAGAGGGACCCATGCGGTAAAATTTGTCCCTATATCAAAAATTTGACTCTGCTCAGAGCTGGGGAGTGTTTGGAGCCAGGGTGTTGGCTTGGCACATTATAGACATAGGATAAAGTCATTACGTTCAGATGCAGTTTCCAGATCCAACTTCCTCAAGGTGTAGGGGTGTTCAGATCTTGGGTGTTCATTTGTGCCCATCTGTACTTTATGCTTTTTTGGCCAGATTCTCTCCAATGATCCAGTCACTCTGATTGGCTCCAGTAGTAAGAAGGGGCCAGAAAGCCATCAGATTTTACTAGCTAGAGATTCCTTCAGCATGGGAGAGTCCACAGCTGGCATGGAGTTGCTGTAGCGGGCTCCTGTACATCCACATCTGCAGCCTCTGGTGAAGGTGGCATGTTGGGGCAGAAGGGATCATGGCTGGAGCGCTACTCTGCTTTGGCCATTCTCTGCTAGAGTAACAACCCCTGTGGGCTAGGACCAACCCATGTAGTTTAGAGCACTCCCTAGAATCAGAGAGAGGTAGCCAGCTCTTCTGCAGTCTCACTTTAGCTCTGGCCAGTGGAAAATGGACAAATTTGAGAATCTAGCCCCATATCATCATTGCTATTTGCATATAGCGATCAAAGCTGAAAATCAGCAACAGTATTTAAACAAAGAAAACTTTTCTCCAAGAGTGCCGACTTCTATCAAGTCTCTGGAATGTTTTCCAGTGTCTGATTTGCTACTCCCTTCTGGTTGTGCAGCTGTTGCCTTTCTTCTCTGAAACAAAGCTCTCGATCTGTTTTGGGGATTTCATATCAATGGTTTTTTTCTTTGGTACAATATCCCCCCCCCACACACACACTCACTGAAGCGTTTTCCTTTTACTTTAGTGACTTACTTTCTCTAAATACTGAGATAACTTAAATAGATTGACCTGATTTTCATTTACTCTTTGACATCACTGGTACAATGACACCAATATAATCCTTGCAAATGTGCTCGACAAAACCTCTGCTGTTTAAAATCCCTAGACATCTGCTATACCTGCCTTTGCAAACACGTCAATATTTGAAGGCATTGAACCAGCAGTGATCTGTAAAATTATCATTTTTCCAATTCCCTTCCTTGTGCCTGTGCCTGTGCCTTCCCAGGGATCTTGGAGAAGTGAGCGACATTACCTGTATTTATATTGCAAAACTGCACACCAACAATAAACCTCTAGCAACCATTTTAGTTTAATTCTTTGTAACTTGGAAGTGAGGTGGAAAAAAGACCCAGGGGAAATATTTCAAAACCACTTAACTCTCATTTTTATAAGTGAGCTTTTGGGCTTGCCCACATGAACATTTAGTTTGTGGCAAGCAGGGGTGTAAATCTACCTTATTCTAACCTGCCACACAGTCAATGCCCATGTGGACCTTGCTGACGTGCACTAAGAGTTTGTTAGTGTGCTTTGAGCGACACTGCTTTGAAACGGGAGTTGATCGCACATTAGGGAATTCTTAGTGCGCAGCAGCAGGGTGCCCATGGACAGCTAGTGCACAGCAGAGTCACATCCCAGCTTGCCAGACAAGACCCATGTCTAACTGTAATTCAGTTAATACCCTTTAAGAATTGTGTCACATAGACGCAGGTCATTTTTATATGCACAAACTAAAGTTAGTGCATAACAACCCCCCTGCATAGACAAACCCAGCTCACCTAAGTGAGTTAGGTGCCTAACTCCTATGTAAAGCCAGTGTGAATTAGGTGCCTAAGCTGCTTAGGTGCTTTTAAAAATTCCTCTAGTCTCCTCTTTGCATCTTTAGGTGCCTAAATACCTTTATAAATATGGCCCCAGCTAGTTGCATGATGTGGATAGAGAAGGCAGATGAACAATAGTGGGAAAAAGGGGAGAAATGTCATACATTTTAACAAACATGTACTGTTTCTGGATTAGGGAGGGGTTCCTTTTATTGAGTGTATTTTCTGGCTGCAGCTCTGAGTTATTCTGTCTCAGTACTCTGACTCAATATTTGGAGAATCTATTTTCCTACACAGAAATAGTAAATAAGTCCCAACAGGGATTGTGCAGCATAGTGTGTTGTGTCCTCTGGGCAATTGGCAGAGATTATTCACATCTTCCTGCAGTAATTCCACAAAGTCATGTTCCTATCTCCTTTGCTGCTGATATCACTGTCCTTGGGGGAATAGTCTCTTAAGTGCTAACACTGCGCCAGAGAAAGAGTGAGAATGACTCTCTAGGCTGGTGGTTGGGGCACTCACTGGAGGTTCCAGTCCTCCAGCTCCAAAGATCATTTAATTATTTATACAAAGTGGAACTGCTTCAACAGGACTGAGGCCTACCCCAGAACATCCTGCAGGTCAAGGCACTCTCTTGGGAGGAAGTAGACTCAAGTTCAAATCCCTGCTCCACATCAGGCAGAGGGGGGAACTGAACCTGGTTTTCCACTGTCTTGGATGAGTACGCTAACCACTAGTCTACTATAAGGGGGACACTGCCATCATCTCCTCTGGCCTTTTTGTGTGGGCTAGGTGTGCTCTGGGCACACCTCCCAGATTTGGGCCCCATAGGTGGGGGAAATGCTTAATTTGAGGAACCCACTGGGATTTAAGCATCTGACCGACATGCGAGCACCTAGATTAAGGTAGCTGTGTGTATGCTCGCTGGCAGAAGCTAGGTCCCTAGGGGACTTAAACAATGGAAATTTAGTTGCCAAGGGACTTCAGGCACCTACAGAGTTAAGTGGCAGCTGAGCAGGGGTTTTGAGGATCTTAGTATTACCTAAAGGTATCTAGCCCTTTGAGCTTTGTTTTCATGCTTACTACCAAATATATCAAAATATTTAACACAAAGAAAATATTAAATACATTTTTGGTTCAAAACATGTTTCTGTGCAGGCACAGATGTAATTTCCTTAAAGTAAAATTATTCCTACTACAAGCCAGTACCATCTGTTGACAAGAACAGTGGACACTGGAAAATTTTAACTTCTCCATTCACTTTAAATGGAAAACCTCACAAGTTCACACAGGCCCATGCTCCTTTTCAGCATGTGGTTGTGTAATCAACTGCTACCTCAACAATGACCTCAACAAACTCAATTATCATGAAACTCTCATCTCCCGATCTCACCTGCAAAAGCACAATTTACAACAAAACTAAGTTTCAAATCCATTTTGAAACTTACAAAAGGAAAATATTCAGAAGACAGGTAATTTGCTAGAGTTCCTCATATACTGCAAGTTCAGCAAACATACTTAACTACACACCACAATTTGATTTCAAGTAAATATCCACCTTTACCTTATGTTTATTTATGCACCTGTTTCCACTAGATAATACAGGATCATTGGGCCATTCTACTACCCTAAGTCACACTGAGGACTCAGATCTCTCTGGAAATAGTCCCATTGATTTCATCTTCAAATCATGATCATGCATTATCCCCTTTTCTTAATGAAAGAACATGTAATTGTCTACTTCTCTGATACATGAGCTTTTTTGTTAGAATCTATTTTTCTTCTGGATGCTAAACATGTTTAATATTTGGAACTTTTCCTCCAAAGATAAACCCTCCAGACCATCAGCTAGTCCTGTGGGTTTCATCTTCTGATATCTCTAATACCTGCGTATCCTTTAATTAATACAGGCAACAGATGCTGCAATTTAACACTCCAGGTGTGATCTTACCAAGGAATTATACAGAGAGATCGTTATTTCCTATTAGAAAATAATTCCCTTTTTATACACCCTTGCACCTTGCTGGCTTTCTTTGCTGCAGCTGTACCATGTGACTTGGTTTTCACAGGATTACGCGACCAAATCTGAAGTCCTTTGCTTTTTCTTTCATGTCTAACTGAATTCTATTTAATTAGTATTTTGATTCTCTGTTGGATCTCTACGTTGGTCTCTTTTGTGCATTGGTAGTGTGTCTGAATGCCAACGAGACAGAAGGGGCATGGAATCTGATTAATCATAGGTGACTATGAGAGTGCAGCATATTTCTTTCCCAAACATCTCGAATTATACTAAGGAAGTGTCATAGTTTAATACACCACAGAGAATGAGAAACAAAGGTGGTTTGTATTTATAAGGAATATACTTCACAACGTTTTTTTCTTCATTTGGGGGCTATTTCAATTTAGATCCTGTTCAAATCTATTCTCTAGGTAGCAGGGAGAGTGGCTGAAACGATTAACAATAATCTAAATCTGACTGATTTGATATTCTGTATGAGAATGAAAGGTCTTTCCTTCTGCAATTTCATTTGTTGAGGCTAAATCAGAAGGATGAACCTTAAAGCTCAACATCTAATCCTTCTGAAAAACAAATGAGTCAGTGGCCAGATTGATGCCAAATGTAATGGAGCAGCCTTGACCATATATTTGCATCTGCCAGGATGATTTCTTACCTTCACTGCAAACTCTGCTTCTGTTACTTTATGCACACACCTCTTGCATACTGAATAGGAGCCAACACCTATGTCCTCCTTGATCTCATATCCATCTGTAAAATGAATATTGTTCCCATGTAACTGCTGTGGAGAAAGACAAAACAAGGGAAATCAAAAGACAAACATTATAGAACCATAAAAACAGAATAATCCTGGCCAGTGACAATAAAGGGATTACTGAGCTCACCTTGTCCAAACATCTACCAAGGATCCATTATCCTTAGAAATTATTTAAGTTCAGTTCAATGAAGTTGTGGCCACTTTCTAAATAAATGTGTCTCCTTCCTTATTGGTGTCCTTCCTCAGTAAACTACAATTGTATGTCTAGAAACAATGGCTGAGATGTTTTTAGCCATATTTGGGATTTGAAGATCCAATTCCCATTAGAAATTAATCACACTCTCTCTCTGGCCCAATGAATATTTAAGTATTTATACAAAGTGGAACAGCTCCAACAGGAGAAATTGAGACTGACTCAATAGGATGGTAGTTAGGGCAGAGAGACTTGAATCTAGGTCCCCCTTGTGCCAGGTGAGTGCCCTAACCACTGGGATATTAGCTATTCTGGGGGTTGTCTGTCTGTCTGTCTGGTTTTTCACAGAGAATTTTGAAGTCTCATTTTTGGCCCAATAAGAAATGAAGCCTAATGCTGAATCCTCCAAATTTTTCACAAATAGGAATTCTTGTTTTCTGGCCAGCCTCAGTAATTACAGGTGAAGTGTTTTGTGCTACTATTGTACAAAACAAGCTATATAAAAATTATACTTCACTCTATCACACAGAATATTAACGGGATGAAAGCTGATCCCATAAACAGGGGCACTCCCCAGGAAGTGCATCAGAAAAGACCTGGTGTGCCAGATTGAAATGCTCACGGGGTCGCAGTGCTACTCACTCAAGTGTGTGAAGTTCTTTTAGTTTACGTGCAAATTTGCACAGATGGGTAAGTGGGCAGAAACAGTTCTCACACACAACTGATACTCACTTTGCCATTCCCGAAAGAGCCAAGGAGAAAGGAGGGTATTGGGTAAAGAAACCGCTTCCTTTCCCCACAGCAGTAAGCGAACAGGCTGGGATGGGAATTTACTGTAGTCGCATGTATGGAAGGGAACATCACTGAAGTGTTTTTCCCCCTTCTTTCCAGTTATTGGCTGTTTGTTCTTATTCATGTTACAAAGTAGGGACCCAGAAGTGTATGTTTGCCTCAGGCCCAGTGATGGGTTAATCCAGCCCTGCACACAGTTCTCACTTACTCCTGTGCCCCTGAATCCAAGATCTGTGTAGCCCACACAAGGGCAGGTCCTACTCTCCATTATGCCATTAGGAAAAGGATAAGAACATAAGAATGGACATACTGGGTCACAGCAATGATCCATCTAGCCCAGTATCCTGTCTTCTGACAGTGGCCAGTGCCAGGTGCTTCAGAGGGAATGAAAAGAAAAGGCAATCTCTGAGTGACCCATCCTCTGTTGTCCACTACCAGCTTCTGGCAGTCAGAGGCTAGGATACCCAGAACATGGGATTGCATCCCTGACCAACTTGGCTAATAGCCATTGATGGACCTATCCACTATGAACTTATCTAATTCTTTTTTGAATCCCATTATTGGTTTGGCCTTCACAACATCCCCTGGCAATGAGTTCCACAGGTTGACTGTGTGTTGTGTTGAGGATAGATAGATAAGACAGATAATAGGACAGAAAATATCATAATGCCACTATATAAATCCATGGTATGCCCACATCTTGAATACTGTGTGCCGTTCTGGTAGATGCATCTCAAAAAAGATATATTAGACTTGGACAAAGTACAGAGAAGGGCAACAAAAATTATTAGGGGGATGGAACAACTTTCATACAAAGAGAGATTAAAAAGATTGGGACTGTTCATCATAGAAAAGAGACAGCTAAGGGGAGGATATGATGGAGGTCTATAAAATCATGAATGGTGGAGAGAAAATGAATAAGGAAGTGTTATTTACCCCATCATACAACACAGGAACCAAGGGTTACCCAATGAAATTAACAGGCAGCAGGTTTAAAAAAAAATGATGAAGTGCACATCTTCACAGAATGCACAGTTAACTTGTGGAACTCACTGCCAGAGGATATTGTGAAGGCCAAAACTATAACACGGTTAAAAAGAATTACATAAATTCATGGAGGATAAGTCCATCAATAGCTATTAACCAAGATGGTCAGGGATGTGCACCAGATTCTGTGGGTATCAGTGAACCTCTGAGTGTCAGAAGCTGGGACTCAGTGACAGGGGATGGATCACTTGATAAATTTCCCTGTTCTGTTTATTTCCTCTGAAGCATCTGGCACTTTTGGAAGACATGATACTGATCCAGACAGACCACCGGTCTGACCCAGTATGGCCATTCGTACGCCCTTGAGCCAGCTCAGTGTCAGGTATTTAGAAGTGCACTTTGTTTCAGTAATTAAATTGCGTGATTCACATTTTCTTTATGCCAGTAAATAGGAAAGTTGAACGTAAAACTAAAAGCCTTTGGAATATCTCTCTTTTTGCACCTACTGTGGGCTGTATGTAAATAGACTAGGGATGGATAAACTGTGGGCTGTATGTAAATATACATGGGATGGATAAGCTGATTGACTGATGTAGTTTAAAATGTTCTATGCAGCTATATATCTGCTCATCAAACGTGAAGTATAATGCAAAGTGTCAGTACCTGCACAATTGGATGAACTGTGATTTTGTGCAAATCTGGCTGTGAAGGCTCCTGCACCAAGCTGGATGCAATGAAGCTGAATCCTCTAAAAAGATGATGAGCATTGGCACTGGGAGGAACACCAGGGGAATCTGCAGAAGAAACGAGGGTATGGCTACATGAGTTGGACAACTAGAGATCAGAAAGTGAATAATGGTACAACATTTGCAGCAATGAAGGTCACCACTAACAGCAAACCCCACTAAATTAGCCGTCACACACTCATAGTCTCCGTCATCATCTCAAGACTCTGATATGCGTGGATCACCGCCTCCTGTCCTGTATCTGAACACAGAGGGGAACATCCATGCATGGATCTCCCCTCTCCTGCACAGCAGTCTTGTTACACATCCGTTTCCACAGCACCATTACAACAGAGGGCACTCCACAAGTTTGGGGTCCATGCAGAGAGGAAAGGGGCTGGGCAGGCTGTGAGAAGGAGTGGGCAGATTGGGACACTGTTCTCCCTTTGGCCTTGGGGAAGATTCCCCGGGGGAAAAAAATACAACCTATGGCTGGACAGTAGAACTCCTACTTTATGAACTAATTGGGAACTGAATTCAGACAATCGAACAGTTTATAAAATTGAACATCTAAAATTAGAGTAGCTATGGTGCATAAGTTGGAGAGTGGCAGACTGCTTGGCTTTCTTCTTGTCCTTCAGTCCAAGGCACTGAAGCCATTGGAATGTGAAGGGATGTCAACGTGTTCTTCATCAACATCACTATTGTTATGGAGGTTCTTTACTCCTGGCAGTGAAAAGTGGTTCATATAAGATGGTCATTCATAAGATTGGTGTTTATAAAATCGAGGTTCTACTGAACTATTCCCCTCCACCCCTGGAACCCTGCTCCTGAGGCCTGGGAATTGCCACAACTAGAAGGAGTGTAGAGTAGCATGAATGGAGATGTGTTGTCTGGGTCAGCGGAGTGGGGGGAAACCACAGGTCTGGAGCAATGGCAGATGTATGGTGCCTCTGCACAGCTGGTTCCTGGTCTGGTGGAAATCTAGCAGGTTTAGGGGTGGGAGCAGCCCCCTATTCCATGCGGGGCAGGAGAGAGAGCATGTAGGGTTGTCCTTGGATAGACCAACTGGACTGACTACTCTGAAAGGATCTTCAGGGATATTTCTTTCCCTTAAGACCCTATCTCACTGTAAAACCCATGGAAAGGAATGATCTGGGTCTTAAAAAGTTTAAATCTTCTGCCATTTGAGTCACACACCCATACAACATTCTCTGGTAGCTAGCCCAATAATTAATCTGTCATAGCAAGGAAAAAAAGAGTCACATTGTGTTATCATTTTTAAAATGAACACTTATGAACATTTTTAAACAAAGCAAATAACAGGGCTCAGTAATAGCTACTGGTACTGTCCCTGGATTTTAACTAGATGAGTATTCGAAAACCCATGCTATTTTAGCCTACTTATTTTTCCCCCTTTCATTGTTTTTCCGATACTTCCTTCAGTTACAAAGGAAGTATTTTTCTACGAAAAGCTTAAGCAGCTAAACCTCCCTTACTAAAGTATCTCCTGGTAGAAAACTTGTAGGACATCCAGTTTCACCTGAGCAAAGAGCATACATCCTCTTAGGGCCAGGTATAGAACTCTTGATTCTTGAGTGCAACCTCTGTTGACATCAATAGCAGTGTTAATTGATGTAAATGGGCATGGCATGCCCAATTGTTCATGGCCCTTAGTGCCCTGGAATTACCCAGCAAGGTAAACATTTCCCAGTCTAAACATTTTCCCTAGAAATGCAGTAAGAATAATGAACAGAGAAAGAGATGCTCTGAACAGTTCTTTGGAGGCCAGCATATAACCAACATGTTAAGAGGAAATATGATCTGCCCAATGCTGCAGAGGTTAGTGCAGCCCAGCTTGCAGCTGCTAGGTACTTCATCAAGGATCATTCTTAGCTTTGACATCGATGAGAAATAAACACACTGAGTCAGACCCATCTCCAGAGTGTGAGAAAGATCGTGTTTGTTTGTTAAAATTATCTGAGCTGGCTGTTCATCTCTCAGCATATCGGAGAGTTCTCTCTTTCCAAATGCTCACACTGAATCACCAGGCCTCATGCAAAATCAGATGCTGCGCTGGCGTGTGCATCACATCCGTTTTACAAACCTGGTCAATAAAAAAGTAGGAAATGAACATTTTAGAGTGGGGACAGGCCCAAATCAAAACCAAATCTGAACACACTTGAACTTCAGGAGAACTCAGCTCCTGCTCCAAATTCTACGACCCCTATGCCTTTCTACTTAAAAGCTAACTACTGCGCATAATCCACAGCCAATTTCTTCTTCAACAACTGCACTAATTATTTTGTTTGCAACATCAAAAGTTGACCACAACTAGCTAGTATGTCTATAAACGTGACTTTAATCTCCCCACATTGAGTCTCTCAAATGCACATTGATCTCTCAAACTGTTAAAAAAAATCATTTTGCACGTCCATAGCATCTTTCATAAGAAGATCTCAAAGTACTTTACAGACATCAATTAACTCAATTTCACAATACTCCTTGGGAGGTAAGCTTTGTAATCCTTGTTTTACAGACAGAGAAACAGACACAGAGATGAAGTGACAAAGTCACACAGGAATATCTGGCTCACAACAGAACCTAGCAATCCTGACTCCTAGTTGTCTGTTCTATCCTAGACCACACAAAACAACTTCTGATGTAGCAAATTATTCAACTGGTAAGTTATTGGGGACAAAACTGATAAACAAGTATTTTCCAGACAGGAGAACTCATTCAGGAAGAACTGACAGCATGTAAAATCAGGTTATGCTTGTAATTTGTTTTTATTTCTCTCTGGCAGCCTCAATAAAACTCAGCAACAGAATTATCATGACCAAGATATAGGCCATCTTTATAGCACTGTCTGTTTGGGTTTGTCATTAGTGACAGGACAGGTGATTCTCAGGTCTGAATCATGGCAGAAAGGAAACAGTAAAACAAGCTCCTGTTTGACCCCATTAGACATACAATGTGCTCCTATGATTAAGACAGTTTCTGTATAATATACTCCTTCAAGTGTAGATCTACACAGCCAAGCAGCGAGAGGGAGACCCTGGCACACATTTATGTAGAGTTTGTCAGGCTGCAGCCCCTTTTCTGCCTCCTCCAGAGGTTCTGGCTGCACTTTCTCCTACACCTCCTTGTATTTGCACACCCCATCCGTGGCCCACCAAAATCGTGAGACCTCCTTGTCAACCTCCTCCTGGTGCTGGTCAAAGGGTCATCCAGCAGAGCAGGAGGAAGAAGCTTGACCAGAGTGGGGGTGTAGAGAGGCTTCTCTAAGACTGTGGGGACTGTTTCCATTCTCTTGTTGCTTCATGTCTCTGGGCAGTGTCCACTGGCTCCTTGTATTCCTTGGAGGAGTGGTGGATGCTATTCTCTGCTTGATGTCCCCCTCTGGATCCCTCATTTTGGCCCTATAATCTTGACTCCCCTCCCTGCATTATCCTTTTTTCTCTCTCAAACTCAGTTGTGGTCTGGGCCTTGTGGTTCCTCCACCGTGGCTTAGGGAGTGGGCCTTTAGTTTTGAGTAGGCCTAGGCCTGCCCATCCTAGTACCTGCAGTAGGTACACAGCCAGCTGGTTCTTTATCAGACACCACAGTATGCTGCAGTAGATCGTTCACATTAATCTGGGGATTAGAGTGTTCATAAAACCAAAGAATTCACCTAAACATTGGGTGGACACAAGTATAATGGAGGTGGGCCCTGTCCAAGCTTCACTACATCGTTTTTTCATTTCATCATTGACGTATGAATTCACACAGTGAAGAACTCTGTAATATAATTTTATTATATAGGTTCTTAGAAAGTGGCACTCTTCAAAACCTACCCCAGGGGTAGCTAATTATTTTTTGTCAAGGTCCAAATTTCTTGGTCAAGGTATAGCCAACGTCCGGACTCAGAGAAAATAATAATGATAATAAGTAAATACAAATATTTTGGGGTCCATTCAAAAGCATCTGCTGGCCCAGATGTGGCTTACGATCCGCCTATTGACTACTCCTGGCCTATCCTATTGCATTTAAGCAGACGATACCTAATGCTTATTATACTTTTTAAATTCACATACACATATTTATCTGAAACTCTTTAATCCTAAGCAACCTCATATTGCACAAATCACTTATCCAGCAAAAATCCATTACCCTAGAATCACACTTGTCCAAGCATTTTTGATGTCCACAAAACATTTAGGACAAATTATATATTTATGCTGCAGGAATTTAGCAAGTAGACACCACTTTACTGCAGGGAATAACCTGGATCCTAATGGATACACATCAATGACAAGAAACTATAAAATTTGAACAGTAACTGATACAAATCCTAGGCTTCTGTAATATAATTTCACTTATTGCTAGAACATAATCAATCACATTAAATTAAGATATAGTTATTATGATGATTAATTGTAACTAGAAGGCTAAAATTACGTTACAGTAAAAGGCTGACATAATGACCCACAACACAGAAGCTTCATAGTACATAACATAATAAACATAATAAACCACAACAGAAAAGCTTAATTCGTTTACAGTTTCAACAGACCCAAAGGATGTACGGGAACCATGGGTTTGTTCACTGTTTCCTTCTCTTTTACTTAACAAAATAAATTATTTCAGTGGGCAAAGATATGGTCCTGGGACAAGGACTGCTGTAGATGGGCTTGATTTTTATTTATATGGCGGCCCCTTTACCCTTCTCTGGAAGTGTAAGGAGGGTCTTAAAGTGGCAACAGATCACATTTACACCCATTAAAAAAATATTAGACCTGATTCTTATGTAGGCTAGGGATACATCTACTCTGCAAATGAAGGTGTGACTGTAGTGCGCATAGGCGTACCTGCACGAGCTTTAACCTAGCTACCGAAGGTAACAGGAGTAGAGGAGATGTGGCAGCTCAGGCTCCAGCATGGGCTAGCAGCCTGAGCATGCCCCCGGGTTCCCTGGTGGGACCGTACTGGGGCAGCTAGCCCATGCTGGAGCCTGTGCCACCACATCTTCACTACTCCTGTTACCTTCGGTAGCTAGATTAAAGCTCGCGCGGCAGAGGTAAAAGCAAGAGCCGGTGCGCCGTACCGGGGTGGATCGGCTTCCCCAGGCACAATTTAAAGGGCCTGCGGCTCTCGGCAGCGGCTGGAGCCCCCGGCCCTTTAAATTGCTGCTGGAGCCCTGGGGTAGAGGCGGTGGGGCTGGGGCAGCGATTTAAAGGGCCCTGGGCGGTAGCGGCGGCCGAGCCCTGGGCCCTTTAAATCGTCCCTGGAGCCCCGCTGCTGCTTCCCCAGGGCTCCGGCAGGCTCCGAGGACGATTTAAAGGGCCCGGGGCAGTAGTGGCGGTCGGAGCCCCGTCCCCGGAGCCCTGCTGCCGGAGCCCTGGGGAAGCGGTGGCGGGGCTCTGGGGACGATTTAAAGGGCCCAGGGCTCCGGCTGCCGCTACTGCCCAGGGCCTTTTAAACCGCTGCCAGAGCCCCCGGCTGCCGCTGTTACCCCAGGGAGGGGGAAGGAGGCACTTGCCGGTACAGGATGGGCCAAGGCTGGCTCTGACCTCCCCCTGCCCCACCCCTTCTGCCCGAGGCCCCGCCGCTTCCAGGGGCCAGAGCCAGCACCAGCCCAGCCCCGTACCGGTAAGTCACTAGACTTACTTTCACCCCTGTAGTGCAGGTAGGTGTTCCTGTGCTGTAATCACTTGTGCCCTGGCAGTGGAAGAGGGTCTTAATGTAAATGGGGCTCAGGCCCAATCATTTAAAAAAGAGTCCCTATGTAAGTCTGTTTTGCACAAAATATCAAATTGAATCTGACAGTTAATGATCAGAAAATACCTGCGAACATATATAGTATAAACTGTAATTTTGTTCATCAGCACACTTGTGCAGACAATGGTTTTCATGCCAATAAAACTGGCAGAGTGTGAACCCCAAAAGCATTTAGACGTCCAAAGGTGTATCTCACTTTCTTCAAACTAGCTGCCAGATCACAAATCTCACAAAAACAGACTAGCTTGTGAAGTTTCCAGCATTTCAGATGTGCCTCCAGGTTCCATAGAGATCTGAATTAAATGTACAAATAGTGGTGTAAAAATGTCTTATACCCTACAGGGCATGCAGCTCTCCCTCTGCCTGCACTGCCCTCAAGAGCCTGACTGTAGCAAAAAATTAGGAAGTGTAAAGGGGTGATCAAAATAAAGTGTTACAAGCATTTTCACACCATGAAAGAAGTTTTGAGTCAAGCTTTAGGCGAAGGTTCGAATTAGTTTTGAGAGAGAGGCCGTAGGCAAAACTACGAGCAGCCCGAACCAAAATGATGGGAAAGTTCAGCTTTGGGTCTAAGTGCCATGACCCATCTCTAGTGGTTTTATTCTTATCAGAACTGATTCACTCATTTCTTATAACTCTCATTATAATTCTGGGACAAGCTGGGGGTTGAAGCTTGAAGCCAGAGGCTGCAATCTTATTATAATTCTTAACGTTATCTATAGCATTTACCATCTTCAAAGGGCTTTACAAACAATAAAAAGTAACTCTTCACCCTGGTGGGGCACATAGTTAAGTATTATTGTGTCCATTTTGCAGATAGGGAAACTGTGGCAGAGTGGTTAAATGATTTGTCCAAGGTCACAGAGAGTCAGTGTTGCAGCTGGGATTAGTGCTTACGAGGTTACTGGTACCACTGTTGTGTGCTCAGAAGACTGACCCATAAGGGTAACAGCTGCCCTAAAATATACTGCCTGGCATATGTTATCACTAGTCTGAAGTGGAAATTATAAATAAAAATAGGAGCAACAGTCCCATCTGGAGCATTTATTGGTCATTAACAACTTGGATGTTATGGGCCAAATTCTCTGCAGGCATAAATCCACTGGTTTCACTAGAGATTTGCCAGCAGAGAATTTGACTCTCCATCAGGGTTACCATTCATCAAGTTCCACTGGTCAGAGTGTTCTAGGGCATTTCACAGTTTAATCAGACATCGGTGTAACACAGTTACATACTAACTTGCACAGCGGCCAAATCCTTTGAAATTGTCGTCATTTAAAAGAGTTAAACTTATTTAACCTAGGCAAAAAATAAAATAAAATAAAAAAAATCAAACTAGAACTGCAATTTTTCTTTCGTTTCAGTAATATCATGCACCTTTCCTTTCTGGATGACGTACCCAGTGACAAGTTGGAGAAGTAACTATGGGCTTGTTCCTGAGAAATGCTGAGCACTCACAGCTTCCTGTTTGCTTGACCCGACAAAGCCCACTGATGCCACAAAAGATCAGGCCTACTGACTTCAATGGGGGTGGAGCTATTAACTGAAAATATCCATCACTTCTGTTCCATCTCATGATTGATGCTAACCTGTAGGGGTCCGTGATGTGAACTCCGGGTCAAAATGAAATGTGTCTTCTGGCCGTCCCACTGCTGGTTTAAAAGGTGGCTTGATTTCTTTCCTATATAGTTTCTACGAGAACAAAGATAGAGAACGATCAGTGATATAATAACACACCATAGCAGCAGTCAGGTCCAAGTGCAGGATCACACACTTCTTTAGCATGTCCTCTGTCAGGGGAGCCATGTGCTACACTGGCAGGGAGTGATATACCTGAGGATGCAGCAGCTGCTCCTGCTGATTAGATCTATGTCCTAGTAAGTCTTTGCCATTTTTAATTATTATGACCTGGGGTCAAAACAAAATGCATCCTTTAGCTACAGAATGGCACAACATTTCAAGCGAGGTGTGCCCCTGGGAATTGGCTGCTCTTCAAGGCTGGGCCAGAGTGTTTTCTGGGGAGGCAGTGTGTAGGTGTGCAGGCAGTTTCAAGTGGCTGGTGATGGCAGTTTAGATGGGGAGAGCTCTGAATCACTGTTCCCTCTCAGTTGTGCATGTGTGCACTCGCACACAGATCTTAAACCCTGTGTACATGGCGACACACAATGCACACTCTGGCTTTGGCGGTGGCTTTTTTATTTTTCGCTTCGGCGGCGGCACAGAAGAAATTTTTTGTGCACAAGGCCTGTTAAAAATTAGAGGGAACATTGCTCTGAGTTACCACAGAGAATTCTTTCCCAGGTATCTACCTGGTTGGTCTTGCCCACATGCTCAGGGTATAAGAGATCGCCATATTTGAGGTCAGGAAGGAATTTTCTCCTGGGTCAGATTAGCAGAGACCCTGGGGTTTTTTGCCTTCCTCTGCAGTATGGGACATGGGTCACTTGTTGGTTTAAACTAGAGTAAATGGTGGATTCTCTGTAACTTGAAGTCTTTAAACCATGATTTGAAGACTTCAGTAACTCAGCCCAAGGTTAAGATCTACGACAGCAGTGGGTGGGTGAGGTTCGATGGCCTGCGATGTGCAGGAGGTCAGACTACATTGTCATGATGGTCCTTTCTGACCTTAAATTCTATGAGTCCATGAATTTGCAGATGACAGTAGGAACCAAGCATTTGTGGCCTTTGTTAGGTGGTGCTGAGGGAAAGGGTCACTTTGTTATTAGTATTTATTATTTGATAAGAACCAACAATGTGCTTGATGCCACACAAGACACAAAATAGAGACAGTTGCTGGCGCAAGCTGCTTACAGTCTAAACAGACGACAAGTTGATGTCTTGTCATTTGTCATGACTGGAAAAGGACGGTGTAGCAGCTGGCTGGGAAAATGACAGGGAAGATAAGAACTTGCCAAAGAGAGATAGCAAGAGGGTTCTGCAGATGAGTCCGGGTTAGGCACTTGCAGGTGAAATAAGAAACAAGGGATATTACTAGGGATTGGGGGAGGGCATGTACAGATAAGCATTCCTGGGTAGGTGTGCTCATGTTGGAGAGGGAGGGAGCACATATGGAAGACTACATTGGTAACTGGTAATAATAGTACTTTGCACCCCACATCACTTTCCATCCCAATATCTCATAGATGTTTCCCAAACATTAATGACTTAAGACTCACAATACTCCCATCCAGTAGGTAATTATATCTGTTTGATAGATGAGTAGACTGAGGAACAAAGTTTTTCGGGGTGATCCAAAGCCCACTGACATAAACTGAAAGACTCTTGTTGATTTCAATGGGCTTTGGGTCAGATCCTCTATGAGCTAACCAAGATCACACAGCGTGCTTTATGCCAGAACTTGGAAAAGAGCTTTGATTTGACTCCTTGCCCTTTGTTTTCATCACTATACCATGTTCCCTCTTCTATCAGCATTGCTGTCTTCTGGCTTCAAAGGGCTGATCTGATTAAAACAGAACACCCTCAATAATTAATATGTTTAAACACAAATATAATGTTTGCATTAACCTTCAAGCCACAAAAAGAGCTGAGAGTTCAACTTCATTAGCGTTTGGAAAGAATATTTTAAGCTAACTCTTAAGAAATAAAACTTCATAAATTAGCTGATTTTTCAAAATATTTAATGGAGCCGAACATATGCTTTTCCCACTCTTTACATGCAGGAAGATTCTCCTTAATGTACGGTTTCTGTAATGGGTGAATTACTCTAATATATGGCATGTGTTATCATTTATGCTACATTACTATCCGAAATTTTAATGTTCTGTTTGCTTAAATAACGGTCCCTCCCCTGCGGTTTCCCCTCCCCCACAGCCTCAGCTCGCTGTGCCGCACAGCTGCCAGTCCTGCTGCTCTGAGGGGAATGGTAAGGAGGTGGGAAGCAGGGGGGTTGGATAAGGAGCAGGGAGTCCCAAGGGGCAGTTGGGGACAGGGAGCAGGGGGCGGTTGGATGGAGCAGAGGTTCGGGGGGAGAGGGGAGGTCAGGAACCCCAATGTGGCCCTTGGGCCAAAAAGTTTGCCCATCCCTGATATAGCATAATGTCAGCATCAGCACAGAGCAGATGTTTATGGCCAAGTGACAACATCTTGGAAAAGAAGAATGGGCATGGGGAGAGTTGAGAATGACATTGCAATAACGGACAGCCATTTCAATGGGAAAAGTCCGGCTTCCTTAAAACCAGCCCCCAGAAGGAGATAATCATCCCTGGAGTACTGACCTTGAGCTCTCCTGGAGCAGTATATGTTGCACTTCCTGTTTGCCTTGTCCCAAGTGGGGGTTCTCCACTGGGCGAAGATGCTATTTAATATTGAATCGTGTAACTCCCACTCATGGTTGGTGGCAAAATACCTGCTGAGGCTGTCTGCCAGTGAGTTCTGGATGCCCAGGAGGTAGACTGCTGAAATGGTGTTGTGGTTCTGTATATGACAGTTCCGTAAGTTGACTGCTTCTACAGAGAGGGGGATGGAGCATGCCCCTCCTTGCTTGTTTATATAGAAAATAGTAGTTATGTTATCCAACATTATCAGGATGTGCTGGAATTGTGTGAATGGCAGAAATGCTTTGCAAGATTTTTGTACTGCTCCCAGTTCCAGAAGATTTATATTCATTCTGGGCTTTTAAGTTGTGTCTACATGTCTTGTGCTGTGTGATTGTCCATGTGGGTTCCGAGCCTGTCAGGGAGCAGTCTAATTATCATCTTATTGGATGTGGGGACAGAAAGGGAACTCCCATGCACATGTGTCCAGTGTCCTGCCACCATGCAAGAGAGGCCTTCACCTTTGAAGCCAAGCTTCCAGGCAATGGGAGTGAAGTCTGGCAAATGGCATCACACAAATATATGATGCCAGGTGACCCAGGAGAGTAAGGCATATCCCAACTGATGTTTGAGGGCTGTGTGTAACTAGGTCTTTCAGAGTGCCCATTTCACAAAATCTGTCCATGAGGAGACAGGCCTTCACCCTGATTGAATCCAAGGATGCTCCTATAAATGTTATGGTATGCGTCAGGTTAGAATTCTCCATATTTTTATTACTTGAGTCTGTGAGAAGGGTGAATATCCACATAAAAGTATGTGTTTTTCATATGGAGAGCTGTGAACCATGTGCCTTTTTCTAGGGATGGTACTGTTGATGACAATGTAACCATACAGATTTCAGCTTGTGAATAAAAACGTTGAGTCAAAGCAAGTCAAGAATGAGTCTCTAGCCTCCTTTCTTCTTAGGGACTAGGAAATATTTTGAATAGAACCCTTTCCCCCAATGTTGAGGGGGTACCTGCTGTATTGCTCCCCAATAGAGAACAGATTGTACATCCTGAAGAAGGAGGATCCCCTCATGAGAGTGGTTCCTGACAAGGGATATGGAAGGGGGTTCTGGGGGAGGTAGGTAGAGAATCTTGATGGTATAGCGGAATGGATGATATCCAGTACCCACTTGTCTATTGTTATTGCCACCCAGTTGTGGGAAAATTTTGCTAGGCAGACCCCAAAATGGATCTCAAAATTGGGTGGAGATGGCATTGATATTGGTTCTCAGCTCTCTAGCATCATGTCAAAAATCTCTGTGGTAAGGGATTCCTTTTGTAGAGTTGGTTATGATATTTTCCCTTTGGGCCAGGTGGATACGTACCCCAGGAGTGGAGGGTTGACCTAGTGTCTTTCAACAAGTGCAAAGACTCGATCATCTTCTCATTAAAAAGATTGGTCTCATCAAAGGGTAAGTCCATAAGAGTTTTTTGGATCTCCCTGGGAACCCCAAAGAGTGTAGCCATGATTCCCATCACATCGCAGTGGCAGTTGCCATGGATCTTGATGCTGTACCAGCCACATCAGTTGCATCTTATGAAGAGGTTTTGACACTGAGCCTTATCCTCCTGAAGCAACTTGTCCCAAGAGTCCAGAAACTTGGAGTAATTCAGGAAATTGCATTTGGTGTGAAAGGCCGGATAGTTTGAGATTTGAAATGCCAGTATGGTGTACATAAGCACCTTCCTCTCCATAAGATTGAAATGCAAGTGTCCTTATCTGCAGACATGGCCCTCCAGTGGTATTGTCCGGATCTTTCAGTGGCTGCCTGGACCACTAAGGAGTTTGGGGCAGGATGTCCCTTAGCTGGGACAAAGGGCTGCTTCTTTGCCCTCTTGGGGGCAGGGGCACAGGTAGCTGGCATGTGCTATAGAGCCTTTGCCAGTTCTGGTATGACTTCATTTACTGCAGTGCTACCTGACTGGAGCCCAGGAGTGGGAAGATATCCTGGAGTTTCTGCTGAGGATTTTCACCTCTTCTAAGGAGATCTGGGCTCTTCCACCATTCTCTGTAACAGCTCCTGAAACTGTCTATGACTGTCCAGGGGAGACAGAGTGACTTCCTCTTCAGGTGATGAGGATGATACCCCTGTTGGAAGTGGTAGTATTGGTGGATCTGGCTCATCTTCCCCTTCTTCTGTGGGCTCAGGGGGTTCAGACTGCTCCCTTTGGAGGACAGAGGGGTAGTAAGATTCCTTGTCTGAACAGACAGATTCTACGTAATATGTATCAGGGTCCCAAGGGCCCTAATAAGGCCAGTAAAGAGGTTGAAAGTGGTGGTCCGCCAGGCATTAGATATCACTGGTCCCGAGGAAGTAGTTCTGGTCTGTGCATCTGAGGTTGGCTCCAGGAGATTCTCAATCCCCTGTCT